ACAAATACTTCCTAATGTGCCGGATATTGTACAAATAATAAAACGCGCTAGCACAAGTCTTAGTCACATGAGTCGACATGTCCAGATGAGAATCGAACCAGGTGCCCAAATTGCGCACTGAAGAAGCAGGCGATACCTCAGCTTGGCCGATCTTGATCTTGTCAACGGACACCTTTGATAACTGTCGTTCCGTGCCAATGATCAGGAACTCAGTTTTATCGTCATTTAGCATTAACTTATCATCTCTCATCCAAGCGCGAACGTCACGAATACAGTTCTCAATCGCAATCACAGCATCAGCCTCGCTGGTCTTATCAACGGGATTAAACGATATATATAGCTGTGTATCGTCCGCGTAGGTGTGAACGGATGGCAGATGAGATTTCATGATGTCAAACAGCGAACTCGCGTAGATGGTAAATAAGAGGGGGCCCAAACAAGAACCTTGTGGGACCCCGCAAGACAGATTAAATTTATCAGAGAGCGATCCGTTAACTGAGACCTGCTGCGTTCTTCCCGCCAAATAAGATTTAAACCATGATAAAGCCTTATCCCGAAGGCGAAGCTTGGACTGCAGCCTGTGCAGAAGAATACCGTGATCTACGGTGTCAAACGCAGCGCTGAGATCTAACATAACAATGCAGATAAAGCTGTCGGCACCAACGATGAACTCGCAAAAAGATTCAGGAACCTTCGTGATGAGACAAGAAACGACGCCATGGTATATCTCAAAGGCATTCTTCCAATTTGTACCAAGTTTGTATCTTGCTTAAGTGAATACTTTGAGTATTATGAAGCACTGGATTTTGAGGAATGGTGTGACATGATTGCAGAGATCCTTGAAGAGACCACTGGCTACAGACAACTTTGTGAAACACTACTGCAGATGCATGAGGACATCATGGTGCCTCTCAAGAAGAGGAGAGACAGCGCAACGATCATGATCAATGAGTTTAAAGATCTTACAGAAATATACCAGAGGCAGAGTAAAGATCTGGAGGAAAAAGCAATTTACAAACGTGAATGGGCACGTTACCTTTTCCAGTTTCCAGTAGTAAACCTTGTTGCATGCCCCTTGTTCTACGTAAGTGCAAGTGTAGATTTTGTAGAGTCCATTGCTAAGAACAAGCAAGCTGAAATTACAGAAGCTGCTTCAATAATAGTCGCTGAAGCACTAATCCCTGCACTTGAAGAATTCATGACTGGTCTCAAAAAGGCAGCAGCATTCTTCTCCGTAATGGAACAAGAATTGCGCAAGTCTGAAAGCAAAGCTGAAAAAGCCAAAAGCGAACCCAAAAAGCTTTACTACAAAGTGATGAACAAACAAGCAAAAAGCATGAAATCTACCTGCCAAGTCTTTTATGCAGTCCTCCCAGACGTTAGGACCGACTTTTTGGCTATTCCCACTGAGGGAACAGACCAGAATTATGTCGACAAATGGCTGGAGCAGCAGAAGAAAATAATCCAAGAGAAATGCCTCGCTTCCACGCTTGCTCTAAAATTACTGAAAGCCATAACTGACTGAGACTATCCTCCTGTTACAAATCGAAGTCGAAATTGACAGTGGCTATAAAAATGACACTACTGCAGTGATGCTACAGTTAACCTTTCTAACCAGCCGAGTGTAAGAAATAATTAACACAGTGGATGTTCAACCTCTAAATACCTAAGTATAGCTTATGTAATGTGTAGCAAAGTAAAAACTCCAAGTGAGTTACATGTGCAAGATCGATCTTGATCTTAGAAGACGTGTGTAGTCAAATGCACCGAAAATACATCTTCTTATATAGATTTCAGTTTTGCAAACAACTCAACTGATCAACTCAACAGTGTATTAACCGTGCAAAATAAAGCCAAGCTTTTGATGCATTCAATTTAGAGGGTTGTTCATATTTTGTTGTTGTTGTTGTTTGTTTGTTTGTTTTTTATCCTTAGAGTCTTGTGTTAGACTCGCGGTCTAGATTCTTGGCGTAAAACTCATTAACAGACCTGGATTAAATTTCAGTTGTTTAACAGAATTGTATAGCTGGCGTTTATTACCACTATGCTAAATATCCATCTAAAGCAGAAAATCCGCCTTTAGTCCTTCAACAATATACAATGAGTCTTTTTTTTCGAAATGGGAGACCAATAGTAATCTTCCTTTCTAAAAAAAATCGCCCTTTATGAGTACGAGTCACAGCATTGTCAAAATAGAGCCTTACCCATCTTCCCGGTGGAGGTGCTTGGCCTTTATTTAAACCATTGTAAATATGAATGATTTTCTTAAGATTTTCAATGGTGACTAATTAAAAAATTTCGCTTACTTTTGATAATGGTAAGCAACAACTTACGAAGAATGTGTTAATATTCTAGTGGCTTTTGAGGTTAACGATCGAATCTTAAAGCAATATTCAGTAAACTTTTTAGTGACCTAATATTTTCAGCAAAAGTACCTGTGCAGAGAGTACGCGCAGTTTCGTTCAGGGGCTACTAATAAGACAGAGCGCTTTTTTCGTTT